GTTCGTCAATCTGATCGGGACTGTTTGTGAACGATTCATCAAGTCAAGTGCATAAATGCAAAATCGGTGGCACCAAAGATACCACTCATGTGAGTACCGGGTCCTCCCCAATCGAGTGATCAGATGAAAACTGAAAACTTAATCATTAAAATGGATTTTTTTTCTTGGAGAACATGATATTGACTACTAAAGCGCCACTAATGCACTGCATCGAGCATTAAAGCCATTATCTTTAGTTCTCGTATCGATTATGGTATAAAATTATTTGTCTTCCTGCTCATGCTTATTGATCTATTCATAGAATTTAGTCTAATGTCTCCAACCAATATTTAAGATAAATATTGTTTTTCGTTGAAAACAAATCGTCTGTTCTCCTAATAATGTTCGAATAGGTCATTGAGAAGAAAAATTCAAAAGACTATCTTTATTAAACTTAAAATTAGATCATGGTAGAGTTACACTGAATAATTTTAGAGAGAGCGTATAGAAAAGGATTGCTGTGTGCAGTAGTGACATATGTAAGATTTTTTACCATTGGACAAACTCCTATTGAACAAGTTTGGAAGTTTGGTATTGCTGAACAAAGCGCAACACCATTACGTCACAATGTTTATAGAGCATTGACGACTTTTTTCTCGGTTTTGAAGTATCACGCATACAAAATGAAAGCAGAAACCGATTGGTTTCTCTAAATTTTCGTATCATCAGTTATCGGACTCGATGACTTCGAAAATGTTCTTGGCCTTCGAACTGTCGCATATGGTACCTTTTCTTTTTTGCGAAACATCACAGAACAGTCATTGATCTATTTCTGCTTCCAAATGAATGAATTTGACAGATGTTTATTTCGATTTCGTTCAATGGTACACTTGCTCTAATCATCTGTTCTGAGATATGCCATTTAAGTAAAGAGAGAAGAAAGGCCAATCTAAGACAGTTTGTACAGCATCATATGGACAAAAACACTAAAGAAATGTTGTTAAAACATTTCGACCAGTGCTTTTTGACGCATAAAACGCCATCAGTTACCACGTGGCGTATTATTTTCATCGTTTTTTTCACGTGCTTTTATCTATGTTTTCATATTTTTCTTTCACATGTGAATAACATCGTAAAAATCATCCGAAAATTGACGACCATCATGCCTATTCACAAGTCTAGGAGGAACGGTCGATTATTTCTATTAAAAAATGACAATTAACTTATTTCTAAAAATCTTCAATGAAGCAGCCTTTGGATGTTAGTTAGTTACGTTTAGTTTAGTTTCGCTAGAAAAATTGAGATTGCTTGAATTCTTTGTAGAAATTAATAATCCAACCTGTGAGAATCAAGCACTTCTTTTTGTGGGCATGTGCTCATTCTTTTCCTTTTTCTTTGTCTTGTTATCAATAATGGACACATATGTCTCTAAAGAATACCATAAAGTTGGTTTATCAGTTTTATTCTCTTTTTTGGTCTGTAACGTACATAAAGAAAAACTGCTATCTATGCTTCATCACAGTTGTATTGCATATCAACATTAAGTTATCTCTGTCACTCGCTTTTTCCACTTTCATTGTTGCTCCATAACAATATCAACTCTAGTACTCTGACTTCACTTATTCTTTTTACATTTCTCGTCCTTCTCCATGTATATCACTGCATCATACTTAGCTTACAGCACACCGTACTTTTGATAATGTATATTTTCTTTATCCGTATATTTTTCACTGTGATCATTTCTCTATAGACCTATTGTCCTTGCTGAGGCAACCGAACAGATGGGTTTTTTCTCTCCATCGTGTCATTGATCTTTCTCTCAATCGATATGACACAGCCGAACATTTTCCTATTTTCCATTCAATATATTCACATGTTTACACTGTTGATGTTGTTTTCATTTTTCTTCGTTTTCTCCATTTCCATCATCATGGCTCAGTTCTCAACTTGCTTTTTATCGATGGTGTAGATAAGTGGAATGGCTATCATTTATTTATCGCACTCATTCTTTTTCACTACTTTCAGTTTCCATTCACCTTTGCCACCTACGTCAGTAAGATAGACATAGCAAAAAATTGATTCATTGAAGTTGTCACCATTTTCAGTTCTTCCGTGAAATAGTGGATATTCCATACTGTGAACTGTCCGTTACGTCAAGAGTCGCTTTTGTGCTTATTGATCACTTCCAAATAGGCTTTACCAAATTATCATTTCACAAGATTAATATGTGCACTAGCTCCTTTTTCACAAAACTGAATCTTTTTATTTTCTCATGCTTATTCCGCAGTGCCATTAATTCGGTGCAGGAAAATTTTCAGTATATTGAACTGTGAGAGTCGTGTACACTCTTCCCATGAGCTGCAGCTGAGCTTTTGTGTATTACTGAGATAGTATAGCGATCAAAATTTGCTTGTATCTTGATCGTTTTCACCTGCATTCCTCTTACGAAGGAAGGTCCCAAGTGTCACGCGATATTTTAAATCTGATATATACGAGCTTGTAGAGCTTGATGAGACTAGAAGAAGCCAAAAAATGGTTCGTCCCTATACGCTGTCCTTCTCGAGTTATGACCATTTTACCGGATTTTCGGCCTCTGGCAAGACATATATGAACCAATCGAATTATACAATTTTTACCTGAAATTTTGCCCATAGATAGGTCTCATGGCCATTAGTATATCCTAAAAATTTCAACAAAACAGAGTGTTTTCTTCTTGAGGTATGGAATGTTGAAGATGCTCGCTTTTTTCATCTTTTCTTGTTATACATGATCGTTTTTTCGATATCCAATATCCCAAGAAGAAAACATTTTGTTTAGCTGAAATTTTTAGGGTATGCTAAGGGCCAAGAGACCTATCTATGAGCAAAATTTCAGGTAAAAATTGCGTAATTCGATTGGTTCATATATATCTTGCCAGAGGCCGAAAATCCGGTAAAATGGTCATAACCCAAGAAGGACAGCGTACGGGGACGAACCCTTTTTGGCTTCTTCTAGTCTCATCAAGCTCTACAAACTCGTATATATCTGATTCAAAACGGTGCGTGACACTTGGGATCTTCCCTTGTTAGCGCATTTGACTTTCAGCGTTTAACAATAATAGCGGACTTCGTTCGAAAGAATTTGACTAGAAGGTGAGCGCGAGATTAATATGATAACTATGGGTGCCCAGAATCAGAAAGGAATAGTGTTTGCTTAAAATAACTTGAGAATGACATTTACTAGAGACAGCGGTTTTCACTGTTCCATGGGTGGGAATGCGAGTTGAGGATTGAATGAATATCGTCATCTATACCTAATTAGGCTAATAAAAAATCCATGATGTCTAGATTTTTGAGAAAGATATACGTAAATTGTAATTAACTCTTAGCAACTCTTCAATCATTTGCATCTGATATTTATTCGTTTCAGGCTGCCGAACAATGTTTGTCGTATTTCTATTGGGTACTCTATTTTTTGCCTGCAGTAGCTCATTCTCGAGGCCAAAATTTACACTAGATGAGTTTTTTAATTATACCGAATTTTCATCGTTGACTCTGGCACCTGACGACGAACAGTCAATTCTTATTCAAACAAGGCACCATATATGGGATCGAAATGTAAATGAACAACATCTCTATTTGCAGACATTAACAGGCAAGAATAGAAAATTGATAACGTCCCATGCTTCAAGTTCTTTCAAACCGATGTGGCAAGGCGAATGGATTGCCTATATGTCAGAAATTGATACAAAGAAACGAATGAATTTACACAGATCATCGGATGACGAAGAGCAGTATATTCAACTTTATTCAACTCGAACAGGACAAACATATCCGATTGCACTCGGAAAAGAAGCTGTTCATACATTCACTTGGTCGAACACTAGTGCAAGTCTATACTTTGCGGCACGTACGCCATGTGCAAATGAGGCTGAAGAAGATTACAAAAGCGAATGGAATGATGTCATTCAATATCGAGAGCAAGAACGTGGCGATACTATCTATCGTATTAACATTGAAGATATAACTGCATACAAAATAGAGACACTGATAAATATTTCATTGCGAGTAGCTGAACTGATTTGCTCACCTGATGGACGACGACTATTGTTTTCGACTAGTTCCAAATTAGGAGACCTGGAGTCAATGGAAGATTTTGAAATTTATGCACTTGACTTGATGAATCGTTCACAAACAGTCCCGATCAGATTGACGAACAATCAAGCATATGAAGAGGAATTGACATGGTTCAATAATGAAGAATTCTTTTTTACAGTTTCCGGCTATGGATCCATCGAAGGTTCCTATAAGGATAGTCAAGGACGACTCTACTCAATGAATGTCATCAACAGTCGAATCGAACGTTGGGCTGATAAGTTTAAGGGTCAAATTGAAGGCTATGCCCTACTACAGCAAGGTCGAGATGGCGTTGTTATTCTCGGTCAACTGGGTACAGAGATTCAAATATATTCGCAACTGTCAGCCAATGCTGAATTAATAAAACGAACAGGCTGGAATGGAAGCTACGAATCGATTGTAACCGGCTCTGAGGGTAACAGTTCAACGATCGCTTTCATTCATTCATCATTTGATGTACCACAAGAAGTTTATTTTATTAACAACATTAACGAACTCAGTTCAGCTCAAGCAATTACGAGCGAGAATAAACTTTTTACTGAACGAAGTTTGCCCAAAGGCAAAGTGTACCGATGGACAAATGAAGAGGATAAAACAGAAATTGAAGGCATTCTTTTGTATCCACCAGAAAATTTTGAACAAAAGAATTTACCACTGCTAGTACTCATCCACGGTGGACCATACATGGCAGATGTAAACATGTTTCGTGCTGGTTGGTATACCTGTGCTGCTATGATGGCCACTGATGGTTGGCTTGTATTGCAGCCGAACTATCGAGGTTCTTCAGGTATGCTTTTATGTTGTAGGAAAAATTAAAATTCAGGTAAAATGAATATCAACGATGAATTTGAAATTTCCCTAGAAGTTTAATTTTCCCTGCAGCACATATATTATTTGAAAAATTTGTATTATCCTTCAGGCTATGGTGATGAGTTTTTGAATGGTATGTTACTTGAAATTGTTTCTCGTCCTGGCAAAGACATATTGTTCGGTGTCGATGCATTGATACGTGACGGTATCGCTGATTCTACAAGACTAGTCGTTGGCGGTTATAGCTATGGTGGATATCTAACAAATTGGCTGATTACTCAAACAACTCGATTCAATGCTGCTCTTTCGGGTGCTGGTGCTATTGAACACGTCGTTGATTGGGGAACAAACGATATACCAGTATCGAATGTTTACCTGTTAGGTGGTTTTCCGTGGCAACAGCCTAGCCGATATCAAATGGAAGCCGCTGTATATCAACTGGATAAAGTTTGTACGCCCACTCACATTATTGTAGGTGAATACGATGTTAGAGTTCCCGTTGCAGAGGCTTACATTTTGGAACGATCATTAAAAGCACTTGGCGTTACGACGAAATTAATTGTCTTTCCAGGCGAAGGTCATGACATAGAAAATAATCCTTGGCATGAAAAAATTAAAGTACGAGAAGAATTGAAGTGGCTACATAAATATGGTAATACTCGCCCACATAAATGTAACAAAACTTTGAGTTCATCCACGAACAATAAACGCATTCAGGAGAATATCCCAGTTTTTGTAGCAGCTCTCGTATGTACTCTCTTGTTGTCTAGGTTCTAAACGGAAGGGATTGTTCGTTCATTTCGAATGTGTTTTTCCACATTTGCTACAATTTGTTTCTCACTACTCTTAAATAGTTTTATTATGAAAATATTTACAATGAGGAAGAATCGTCTCTATCAATTGTTCTTTCGCTTTGTTTCAAGACCAAAGAAAACATATTAAATCATCTAATGGATTTTCCCAATTTCGAAAGATTCTCGAAAGCACAAATCTCTCCTAGCAGTTAAATTTCTTATCGACATGATTTTTTGTCATACAATGAATCGGTATTTTCAGAATGAACATGTATTGTGCAGTCCTTGAAAGTATTCAACTGAGTGTGCTCCCTTTTGAGTATCAAATCCCCAAAACCATGATGCTGCATATAACAAATTTTACTCATGAAATATGATCAAGGATCATGCTTAGCTTAGACTCAATAAGAAAAATTTGGAATCCATGGAAGCGTCATAAAATGGCCTTCGTGGCTCTGCCCCGCCCCCTCCTCTCAATGCGACCCCATTTTGAATGGATATGACTAGCAATAGTTTTTTATATGTTTCAATGCGCACCACGATGATCTGCTTCATTGCAACAGTTTTTGTTGAGAATTTCATAGCAGTTTATATTTTTTCTGCTAGTTGGAAGAATGCCTTTGCTGATTTGATCGATTCGGAAGATATTGAATCGTGGGCGGCTGAGATGTTGTCGTGACTGTTTTAATGAATTGAATTGATCAATGCTGAGTGTGGGTGTGGGTGTGCGTGAGGATATGAATGAATGTGATTTACACGCACACCTACATCCACATCCACACTCAACACGTACACGACACTCTTTAACGATGAAGTTTCTTTTCTCAAAAATGAACAATGGACTCGCAATATAATATATTTGAACAAAACAGAATATGATGTTTTTTAAGAAAAGAAATTTATTTCATCAGTTTTTCCAAACTAACTCTTTTCTTTGAGAAAAAGATTTCTATACCTCAACTGTACACCATTTGAAAATTCGAACTTGGTAGTTCTGGTTCAGCGGGAACGATATTTTCTTGTTTTTCCCATCCTGTTTGCCACAGGACTGGAGAACGAGAACATTTGGATGACAATGATATTAAAACGTGGCTTTTGATGAAAATTGTTTTCGTTTGTGTATATAGGGTGTCCAGTAAGTAACTCCACAAAGAAAAAGTTGAATATCTTCATTACAACTCGACCAAACGGGCTCATTTTTTTACCAAGGATAGAGGCATGTTCACATTTCAAATCCAT